TAATAACACATTCATTTATTTGATTAATACTTAGATAATATGTACCTGACGATTATGTAAAAGTTCTGGTTGCTTAATAATGGCGAAACATTGTGTTAATCCAACGGAAACGAGAAGAAAACGTTGCTAAAATTTTCTTCCGTCTGTATATTATTTTTCTAATCCAAATAAATTTTTTACAGATTAATGCCACGCTTGCTGATGCCGATTGTTCAAATAAATGAGTTTCAAACACCACAGAACAGAACCCCGAGAAAACGGGGTCGTCCTCGAAAAATAAGCACCTCACTGGAAGCAACTGAAACGAAACCAATAAAGAAAGAATCAGACAACACAGAAGAGGATCAAAACGACGAAAAAAGTATAGATTTGAATGATGATAACATAGAAATCGAAGTCGATTTCAGTGATAAAGCTTCAGAGGGAGGCGAAGTCGCGAAATATTTCTGTCCCAACTGCGTCACTCTTCAGACTATGACCGAAAAAGAGTTGAGAAAACACTTCAAAGTAGCGCATAGAGGCAAACGTCTCCGAAACATCCACCTCTATTCTGGCGAACTACTCAAGTGCGAAATATGCCCGAAACAATTCAAGACAAACAAGAGCTTAAAAGAACACCTGGAATTCCACAGTAATCAATACACTTGCGAGACGTGCTACTCGTGCTTCCGAAAGATCGGCGAGTACATCATTCATCTTCGCGCACATTCGGAAGAGAACATCTTCAAGTGCGTCGTGTGCGATTACAGCACCGAATCGATAAACGAGATCAAAGGTCACATTTCGGACGATCACGAGGGCAACACTTACAAATACAAGTGCGTTGTTTGCGACAAAGGTTTCCACTTGTTGTCGTGGTTCGAAGAGCACAACAACTTTCACACAGGTACCAAACCTTTCGAGTGCGATTTTTGCGGAAAATTCTTCATGTACAGCCGCCACTTGTACGTGCACAAGAAGACGACCCACGGAGTCGAAGGCGAGCCAGTTTTGCACGAATGCGTCGTGTGCAAAAAGCAATACCAACACAAAAACAGCCTGAAACTGCACATGAACGTGCACACCGGTAACTTAGCCATTTGTGACATTTGCGGCAAGCAGCTGTCGAGTAAGGAGAAGCTGAAGTTTCACATGAGAACCCACACGGGTTATAAACCGTTCAGTTGCAACTACTGCGGCAAGTGTTTCACTAAAAAACCGATCCTTGTGGAACACGAACGTATTCACACCGGCGAGAAACCGTACGGTTGTCAGTATTGCTTTAAGGCTTTCTCGCAAAGGTCGAGCTTGGTCATACACGAACGCGGTCACACCGGCGAGCGCCCTTACGTCTGTCATCTCTGTACCAAAGGGTTCGTTTCCAGGGCCATGCTCAACATACACATCAGGTCTTGTAAAGGCTATCTTAAGTAAGAGAGATTACAAGGGCTGTTAACGTTACTATACAATTGCGTAGGAATGTTTTAAGTTATTTTTTAATTACCTACACGTAGTGCTTGAATTCAGTGTTTGACATTGACTTGGTTACTACACAATGAACTTTATAAATAAATAATAATCAGTAGAGATAGGTGTTAATACACATACATATATATAGGTGCATAGTACGGTTCCCTTATTGGGAAACTACCGGGGTCAAGCTGATAATCAGTTTTTCCGAATTTCGCGATAGTTCAGTCATTTCTTCTAAACATTTGCGCCATTTTGTACTGTCGCCATTTGCCAAAGTCTCCTCCTTGTTCAGGCATATTAATTAATAACAAATTAATCCTGAAATTATACCGTGTGATCAAGGATGGTAAGTCGACAAGAGGCGATCTATTACAGTGAAACATCAAACATTTTCAGTCATTTACATCACAAGTCAAAATATGTTGAAAAATAATTCATATCCGAAGTGGTCAAATTAGGAATTCAGCAGAAAAAGCAACATGTTATGATCACAGGATTATTTACCTATCTAACGATCAATATTTCTACGTACATATTGATTAAATGATTACCTATACTTTAAAAAAAATCGATATATAATATTTCGATACCATTCTCTAGATTGGGCTACCGCGAGAATCGAAAAAAGAAGATTGATTTTGGAATACTTTAGCATCACTACAATATCTCGCCCAGTTTTGATGATTTTTTATGACGTTTTTAATTCATACTCATTGTTTATTTTATAATAAGAAAAAAAAACTGATTTATAATTCTTCTGATACTTTTAACTGAATAAATATTAAGTGAATCGATTAATTTTATGTAGGGTAAGTAAAAGTCTTTTGTTCAACAAAATATGTATTTCTGAATGGAGAAGACGTTTTTGTAATATTTGTGAAATGTAATAAAAGTTACGGTCCCATGTCAGAGAGTACCTACAATTGGTACTTTTATGGTCATTTACACGTAGTGTATTGTTATCAGACTAATATTGTAAATGATTTTATTATATGCGAACACACATTTATTATAACGCTCTGTATTTATAGATAATTTTTTGTCGAAACCATTAGGACGTAATAATTAGCGAATATGTAAGTAATAAGCAACAAGTTGAATGTAAGGAAAATTATATTAATAAATAAACTATTAAATGTCCCGCACTATCATAAAACTTTGACAATAACATAAGACTTGTTTAAGTGTGTTTTTGGGACTTCCTGTACTTGACAATGGAATGGTAAGTTTGTAAAATTTTTAACAATGGTTAATTGTATTTTTTGTAGGTTTACAAGAGCACGAGTTCGTCGTTTTTTATGGATAAATAACAGGGGAAACTCCATTTACAGCTGGAAATTTAGTTCGCATTTTGTTGTGTTTCCATAATTTTTTGTGTTTTTATCTTTTTATGAGTCATGTTATTTTTAGAACATACTGGGAAATTCAAAGAAGCGATTCGTTTAAAAGATAAACTTCAGAAATGCGCATATTTTGGAACTTACAAATACAACAGAAAGTATATGCAGGATTTATCATTTTTCCATTTTTTTCTTTATCTGTTTTACGTTTTAGCGAGTATTTCTTCACACCGGCATTTGATCACCCTGATGTTAGAAATAACAGACAATTTATTTGATTTTGTTTATTGTCACTGGCGGTTTAACAGGGTAATAAACAAAACCAGTTTTACTCAAAAAATGTGATTGTTCGCCCATTAAAATTACAATAAAATTGAAAAGTGGTTTTTTGTTGTTTTTGTTTAATTTTGCATAAAAAATAATTTCTCTTGTGTGTTAATATAAAAAAAAAAAACACCATAGTACCTATTGTCTATGACGCAAGTTATTTTCAGGACTGAATCAGACGATGACGACGAAGAATTTGTTATAAGAACAAGAAGAAGTACAAGACGTCGAAAAATTGCGAAAGGTAGATCTTTGAAAAAGACAGCAACCCAGAAAAAGAAGATGAAAACTAAAAAAGACAGTGCCGATCCCATCGAAATCGTTACCGTTAAAAAGGAAGAAGGGACCGAAGGTATCGATAAGAACAAGATCATAAAATGCAAATACTGCAATAACATTTACGTTAACGAAAAGTGGTTTCGTTATCACATGATGCGAGAAGAACGATTATATTACTGTCACGAGTGCGAGTATTTGGAAAAAATGACCAAAGCCGAACTTATCGAACATTGTCTGGTGCACGGGATCGACTATAAAAGTTCGAAGAATTTTTTCCGTCGAGCCAAATCGAAGAGACCGCGTATTAAACGACCCGAACGTTCGTTTTGTGAAATATGTTCCGCGGAATTCGACACGAAAGACGAACTAGAAAAGCATTACGACGACTTCCACGAGAATCACTACGTGTGCGAAGTTTGTAACGCGGGCTTCAAGAAAATCGTCGACTACACCCTTCACATGTACTCGCACAGCGAAGACAAACTCTTCAAATGTCCCCTGTGCCATTTCACATCGACCAAAGGTTATATAATCAAGGCCCATCTTCAATCGGTGCACGAACAGTTCAAAAAGTACAAGTGCGAGCTTTGCGGCAAAGGTTTCTCGACTTATACTCACTTCGAAGAACACAAATACTTCCATAGCGGCGAGAGACCTTTCCAATGCGACATATGCGGCGCGAAATTCATGTACTCGAGGTATCTGAACTCGCACAAGAGATATCAACATCAGTTCGCCAAAGACGAGGAATTAAAGTGTTCGGTATGCGGCAAAATATGTACGACCACCAGGTCGTTAAGTAACCATCAGCGCGTTAGACATCCGAAAGACTTACTGGTATGTCACTTTTGTGGCAAAACGTTTCGAGGAAAACAAAACCTTCTGTTACATTCGCGAATTCACACGGGCGAAAAGGCGTATACCTGTTCTTATTGCGGTAAGAAATTCAGTCGGAGAGGTTACATGTTAGAACACGAGAGGATTCATACCGGAGACAAACCGTTCAAGTGTCCGCATTGTAACAAAGGCTTCTCGCAACGCACCAGTATGGTCATTCATTCTAGAAAGCATACAGGAGAGAGGCCCTACGTGTGTCATATTTGCGGGAAAGGTTACGCCTCGAGAAACATGCTTACAAATCACTTAAGGACTTGCAAGGGTAGTTCAGAAACGAAACTTAAAATAGCATGAGTAACAAAAGGTTCTGTTTGATGAACTAGGTTTCGATGGACTTTTTACTATTCGGGGAGTTATTTTGACTGTGTCCTAATATGAATAAGTTTATTTAGACACTATGAATCGTGAAAATCTTTTGCTGTTGATATCTATATTACTTCTTATAAAAAGCTTTTAGAGTTTCATCGAAACCCTTGTTGTTTTTTTCATTGTCTATATAGATTTTTGAAATTTTTCTCCATTTCAACAATATTGTTACATACATTTCTTGACATCATTTTACAAGATATTGTTATTTCGGAAATTAATTTAATCCACATATTCTTAGATAATTTTTCCATAAACTTTTCCTGTCGAACGTAAGTAGAATATCTATCTGTGTAAGGTTATTTTTTGAAATAAAGATTTTACTAATAGCATTATTGTGTTGTTTGCCTTTTATTGACGTTTATACTTACAATTATATTCAATAATTATAGTTAGTGTTTAGTGAAAAGCAGCTGTCTACAAGTAATGTTGTGTAAAGATATTGGTAGTTATTTTATTAAAAATGAAATGGCAATTTTATAATAGCTTTTACTTTCAGGGCCGTTTGTAACCTGCCAGAAGCAATTACGTTTTCGCATGATTCAAATAGAAAAACTAGGAAAAGAAATAGTAAATGTAGGAAAACCAATACTAGCAATAAAAGATCTCTGTTATCCACAAAAGGAGAAAAAAAATCTGATTCCGAAGAACACCTACAATTTGATGCTTCAAGGGAAGCAGTTGTTAAAGATCAACAGGAATCGAATAAAATATACACTTGCAGATTCTGTCGTAACGTTTATAACGACAAAACATCGTATCGATTTCATATGAATCAAGAAGAGAAGGTCTATTTTTGTCATCAGTGCGGAAACGGCGAGAAATTAACAAAACAGGAGCTTCTAGAACACTGCAAAATGCACGGAATTGACTACAAGAAGAAAGCTAAATTCTTCCGAAAGGCGCAAGCAAAAAATCCCCGACCACGCGCCCAATTGCAATTATTCCTCTGTGAGATATGTTCCTTGGAATTCAATGCAAAACCTGATCTCGACGCCCATTACGAAGCGGAACACAAAAATCATTACAGATGCGAAGTATGTCAAGCTGGTTCGAACAGTCTCGTCGACTACATTTTTCACATGCAAACTCACAACGAAGACAAATCGTTAAAGTGCCCCCTCTGCACATTCTCCACCTGTAGTAGGTACGTGATCAAGGGTCACCTGGCGTCAGTTCACGAACAATTCCGGAAACACAAGTGCAAAATTTGCGGCAAGCGGTTTTCCGTATTCTCTCATTTCGAAGAACATAAAAACTTTCACACGGGGGAAAAACCGTTTCAGTGCGACGCGTGCGGTAAAAAATTCATGTACTCAAGGTATTTAAGGTCGCACGTGGCTCTCATGCACACGGAATGTTCGGAAAACGAACTCAAGTGTCCGATATGCGACCAGACGTTTCTTGCAGCGGGCGCACTCATTGAACACCGCCGCAGAAAACATTCCAAGTTCGTTCATGTTTGCGAGGTGTGTGGCAAAACGTTCAGAGAACGTCTCGGACTCGCTGCGCATGCTAAAATTCATTCGGAAATTAAATCGTACGCATGTTCAGTCTGCAAAAGGCGTTTCTCCAGGAGATCGTACCTTACGCAACACGAACGTATTCACACAGGGGAAAAACCGCACGTGTGTCCGCATTGCGGCAAGGGATTCACGCAACGCAGCAGTATGGTCATACATGCGAGAGGACACACTGGAGAACGCCCTTACGTTTGCCAGTTGTGTGATAAAAGGTTTACTTCTGGAAATAGACTAACAACTCATAGAAAAAATTGCAAGGGATCACCGACGCCCAACAATTGAACAATAAATAATTCTGTAGTGCAATAATTTAATTGTTAAATGAAATAAATTGTAACGAATTCAAACTTGTGCTTGGATTATGTCTATTGGAGCCTAGTTATAAATTATATTTTATTATTGGTTTTACTTTTACTTAACGTCGACTGTTCCTGTAGGACCTTTTGGATCATCTGTTTGCCCATACGTCTTCTTATTGAAAAGGTACTTACTTTTCTTTTGTTTTCTCGACATATATTATAATTTTTAGGTAGTAGTCTTTTTTTTTTAATACACCATGCAAATATAACTTTTCGTTATTTAGTTGTGTTATTCCTTCTTAATGCAAAAAACAAAACAAGTAAGTATAATTATGCATATCTACGATACATTTCCTTTTATTAAAAACGATTTTTGGATTTGGATAATCGTTTATCCATTATAGCCCTGTTCTAATTATATTTTAATTTAATTTATTTTTCAGGAGCTCGTATAATTCTCAAGATTCAATAGTCGTGTATATAATGGAAGAAACAAAGAAGCAAACTGAAACTGATGATAATTTTATCTTAGATTTTAACAAAATAGATGAATATACCTCTCAACATAAGCAAAAGATTGCAACAAATGAAAGACTTGGAACCGAAAATGAAAACGTCAAGACGTTCACTTGTAAACATTGTAAGGTCATTTACGATGATATAAAGACGTACCAATGTCACATGACTCTTGAAGAAAGACTGTACTATTGTCATCATTGTAAGGATTCAAAGCGGATTACGAAACAAGAATTGATCGATCACTGCAAACTGTTTGGAATTCCGTTCAATCAACCGAAATTCTTTCGAAATGCCAGGGTCAAAAAACCGCGATCTCCACGTGTTAACAACGGACTATTGTGTGAAATATGCGATCGAGAGTATAACGAAAAGAAATCATTAGAAGAACATTACGCGGAAGCGCACATAGATCACTACAAATGCGAGACGTGTGACGAAGGTTTTAAGAAACTCCTGGAATATGTTGTTCACATAAAAGGTCACAGCAGCGATAATAACACATTCAATTGCACGCTTTGTCAATACTCAACTCAAAAAAGCTGTTTATTCAAGATACATCTACAAGCCAATCATGACAAATTTAAAAAATACACATGCGACGTATGTAGCAAGAAGTTCTCTGTTCACTCTCGGTTTCAAGAGCACATGAACTTTCATACCGGCGAGAAACCGTTTCAGTGTGATTTTTGCGGCAAGAATTTCATGTACTCGAAGTATCTTTCATCACACATTGCACATTTTCACAAAGTGCGATCCGAGGAAGAACTGAAGTGTACCATTTGTGGCATGCAATGTACAACGTTCGTAACTCTGATGGATCATAAACGGAGAAAACACCCGAAGGTCTTGCACGTTTGCGAGGTGTGCGGTAAAACGTTTAGTGAGAAAATCGGACTCACGCTTCATTCCGTTGTTCATTCGAATGAGAAGATTTATGGGTGCTCTTACTGTCCAAAGAAATTTAGCAGGAAATATTGCGTGCCAGAACATGAGCGAATTCATACGGGCGTTAAACCCTTTAAATGTCCCGAATGCGGCGAGGGATTCGCTCAAAGGGGAACGATGAAAATACACTTGAGAAAACACACTGGCGAACGACCTTACGTTTGTTACATGTGCAATAAAAGTTTCGTGGCGAAAAGCGTTCTTCCTGGTCACTTCAAAATTTGCAAAGGGAAGAAACATACTATGAAATAAATCTTTGTTTAATACATGCAATTTATAATTACATAGTTTTTATATGTTGAATGTAGGCGTGAATATGAACAAGACTTAAATAGTAGATGTTAAGACAGTTATGATTTATTTGTGACATTAAAGTAGTTTCAAACTTATAAACGTGTTTAACTTGAACAAAATAATTCGAAGTGGTCTGTGTTCCGTCGAACTAAATACTACAATTACTACTATTTTCTAAAACGCGCTGTTAAGACAGCAGGTAAAGGCTGGTCTGTGTTCTGTCGGAGCTGCCTGCGACGCGCTGATGAGATCCAAAAAGATCGAAATCGCGATCCGCGTCTGGCAGTTTCGACAGAATACAGACCACTTCGAATTATTTTGTTCGATTATGGTAACGTGCCTATCACGTTGAGGTGAGCTACGCCGGGATTCGTTTCAGCAAGTAGATATCCATATTTTTAAATGGACCTTGTTGGAGCATATGTAATCCTCAAATGTAGCATCGTACTACAGATGGCGCTCACCACGCCATTTGTAGTATTTTCTAAAACGTGTTTAACTTGAATTAAGGGTAAGAAATTTATGTACTATATAGTGGGGTGTCCTTGTTCTCAGATTTCATTTTTAATCTAATTTTTTTTCTAACTTGGATTAATTTTCAGGAGTTCCGAAAGTGAAAACTCGGATAGTAGATGTAATGCTCCGGTAGAGGTTAAAAATGAGTATGCTACTGAAGCAGTGTTTGTTAACGAAGTCGGAGATGACAGTCGCTATGATAACGAATTCAATGACGGTTTTCTATTTAAAAAAGGTAATAGCGAATTTTGGTACTGCAAGACTTGTCGTAACAAGAAATTTTATAATGAAGAAGCTCACGCCAAGTTCGTATTGGCCAAGGAAGTGAAAAAATTTTATTGTCACTACCATTCCACGTGTACTGAGTTATTCACGAAACACGAAATAATTAAACACTGCCAAGATCAAGGCATTGAAATTGAAAATCATCAGAAGTTTTTCGAAAGGGCCAAAAGTAAAACACTTAGGCCGAAATTTCCCGAAGAACCGTGTGAAATTTGTTCGGAGATGTTCCCGAACAAAAACGCCTTAGAAATTCATTACGAAAATGACCACGAAGACCAGTACACTTGTGAAATTTGCAAGGCAGGATTCAAAAAGATCATCGACTACATTTGTCACCTACAAAGGCACCGAGAAGATAATTTATTCGCATGCCCTCTATGCGAAGTGACAACTGAAAAGTTCTATCAGATTAGGGTACACATTAAAAAACACGAACAGTTTCGCAAATTCAAGTGCAAGATTTGCGAAAAGAGATTCTCGTGTTACTCATCCCATTTAGAGCACATGAAGTTTGTCCACCACGGACAGAAGCCCTGCGTCTGCGACATTTGCGGAAAAAGGTTCAGGAACGAGGGGTGTCTAACAACGCACAAAGACGAACATATGTGGAAAATTAACGGAGGGATGGAGTGCGAACAGTGCAAAACGATATTTCCGACGTACCGTTCGTTGAGGCGCCATTTAGCGTCCCATTCCCCCAAGGAGATGTTTGTGTGCGACGTTTGTGGCATGAATTTTTTACACAAAGGCAGCCTGGTCAGGCATATGAAAAGTCACAATGGTGATAAGCAGTTTAAGTGCTCGTATTGCGAGAAGAGGTTCATAACGAGCACGACTCGAGCAGAACACGAACGAATTCACACGGGGGACAAACCGTTTAAGTGTCCCTTTTGTAATAAAGGTTTCACCCAACGGAGCGGTATGGTCATACATTCCAGAACGCATACGGGCGAACGGCCTTACATTTGCCACCTGTGCAATCGGGGGTATACGTGTAAGGCGACATTGCGCAGTCACTTGAACAGTTGTAAGGGTTGCGATGTTACAGACTAGTGTAGATATGTAAGAAAGCGGTTTGAAATTATTCAAATATTACGTAAGTACCAACTGCATTCTTTACAATAGTGTTTCATTAACTGGGTGCCATCAATTGGTATGCTCCAAGAAGAGGTGGTGGGATTTTTCCGACGATGAGAGGTAGGTGGTAGACAAAAAAGTATGCAATGTATTCATTAAAAGGGTTACCTTAAAATAAATGAAAATCGTTTTTATATTATTGGATCTATGTATAATTTCCTACATATTATTCTAAAAAACAACGAATACGTTCTGACTAACCTAACCCAACCTGAAGACGGTAGGCCTAAAATTGGTAATAACTTACTTACGTAATAATTGAATATTCCCGTTAATCCATTTTCTCCCATATTATCTATCTAGGTATCACAATTTTAGCAAAACATTTATCTTCAAGAATAACTTTCCATCATTGCGAACATTTTCTTACCTATACGTTTCGTGATTTAGCATTTAATCTAATAATTTCCATGGGTTTATGTAAAACTACTAACTAATTTTAATTTTTTAGTTTGTAAACCAGATAATAATATTTCTGTCTAATGTCTGTGCTCGAAAGGTAAGATATCTCTTTAAAATATGTTCTTACGTTATTACATTATTATTTAAAATAAAATAATACTGTAAAACAAATTTTCCACAATATTCTTGTTACATATTTTAGAATTATTGTAATTATCCGAAATGTTGTATAAAATAAAATTCGTTACCTTTTCGATGGTCTGACTTGAAAGACGTTTTTTGATTGTTTCGTAAAATATTTATTTATTCTCTGCTGTGCAGATTTTCAATAATATACTCAATANATATATAAATAATAAAATTTTGTGTTTAAGGGAGTAGGTATTTTTTAGAAAAGCAATACAAGAAAATTTTCCTTTTCCATTAGGTATTAGGTATGTATCGATTTATATTAGTGAGCGTTTTATAAATCTTTGAATTTAATTATTTATCTATTTTTTAATTACAATAATATGCATATGTCTACGCTCTCTCTTTTAAGCAATAAATAACTTAAAACTTTTTAGGATTAGACTTCAAGGAGCTGAAAGATTTTGCAGCGTATCCATGGAGACTCCCGATTGGAATGAGGATAATGTTAAAGTATATATCAAAAAAGAAATAGATTCTGTAGACGTATTAAAGGAGAAACTGAAACAATGTCCTGACTATACTGAACAGTTTGATGACAAGGATATAGTTTTTGTGAATGTCGAAACGAATCAATTAAATATTAAAAAAGAAAACGAAGAAGGGGTAGAACTGTTACCGCTAACAAATGCCGATAATTTCTTTCATAATGCCCCAATAGGAATGTCACAAGAAGAAGCTAATTTAGCCATGTGGCCAAATCATGAAGACACAAAGCCATCGAAGAAATTGTATTACTGTCACCATTGCGAAAACCCAATTAAAATGACCAAAGAGGAACTGATCGATCATTGTAAATCAGTTGGGATAAAATGTGAGACACAAAAGTTTTTTCGTAAAGCAATGGTGAAAAACCCACGGATTAAACCATGTCCGCGTTTCTATTGCGAAATATGCTCTAGCGAATTCCAGACGAAAGAAGAACGCGAAAAGCATTCGAAAGAAACGCACAAAAACCATTACGTTTGTGAAGTGTGCAACGCGGGATTCGAGAAGATTGTTGAGTATATTTATCACATGAAAACGCACAGTGACGATAATCTCTTCAGGTGCGCTATTTGCCCCTACACAACGTCCAAGCGACAGTTTGTGACCAGACATCTGCAGTCGTCACATGATCAGTTTAAAAAATACGTATGCGAACTCTGTGACAAGAGCTTCTATTCGTACCCGCATTTTTTAGAACACGAAAACATCCACACAGGCGAAAAGCCGTTTCAGTGTAACGATTGCGGCAAGACGTTCGCTTACTCGAGATACCTGAAGTCTCACGAGCGCCACGTGCACAAACAACGCAAAGAGAAGGTGTTCAAATGTCCGTTATGCGACAAAGTCTGTCGGACGAGTCAGTCGTTACTCAGTCATCGAAATACGAATCACCCGGAACACCTTCACGTATGCGACGTTTGTGGGAAAACGTTTAAAACCACGACGCGATTGAAATTGCACACGAACATCCATTTGAACAAAAAACCGTACCAGTGCTCGATCTGTAATAAAAGATTCAATAAGAGATCGATAATGATGCAACACCAGCCTATACATACTGGAGAGAAGCCATACGCATGCACGTATTGTGATCAGAGATTTTCACGGCGGGACAGCATGATCATCCACAGCAGAAGACATACCGGGGAAAAGCCTTATAATTGCCAGTTGTGCAATGGGAATTTTACAACCAAGAAGATTTTAATAAATCATCAAAAGAAGTGTACAGGTTCCCCTTCACCTACACCATCCCAAAACGATTAAGAATCTGTCACAACTTATTGGATGTTAATTTAGTAACATGGTCTCTATTATTTGCTTGTTGTTATCACTTTTGTTTATAAATGTACAAGAACTTTAAGAAATAAATTACCATTTAATCATCATGTATAAATATTGGCAGTATTTCGTGGCAAACGAAGTAGTTAATGAACCAATAGTTGCTGGGTACTAAAGTAAAACTTACAAAAAGTCGAATAAAACAATTCGAAGTGGTCTGTTTTCTGTCGAAACTGCCAGACGCGGATCGCGATTTCGATCTTCTTGGATCTCATCAGCGCGTCGCACACAGCTCTGACAGAACACAGACCAACTTTTACCTGCTGTCTTAACAGCGCGTTTTAGAAAATACCACAAATGGCGCGGTAAACGCCATCTGTAGTACGATGCTACATTACAGACCAATTTTTACCTGCTGTCTTAACAGCGCGTTTTAGAAAATACCACAAATGGCGCGGTAAACGCCATCTGTAGCAAAATCTAGCATCGTGCTGTAAATGGCGTTTACTGTGCCATTTGTAGTATTTTCTAAAACGCACTGTTAAGACAGCAGGTAAAAGTTGGTCTGTGTTCTGTCCGAGCTGTCTGCTACGCGCTGATGAGATCCAAAAAGATCGAGATCGCAATCCGCGTCTGGCAGTTTCGACAGAATACAGACCACTTCGATTTATTTTATTCGATTATGGTAACGTGCCTATCACGTTGAGGTTAGCTACGCCGGGATTCGTTTCAGCAACTAGATATCCATATATTTCAATGGACATTGTTGGGGCATACGTAATCCTAAAATGTAACATCGTACTACAGATGGCGTTTACCGCTCCATTTGTGGTACTTTCTATTACGAAAAATGTGTACAACTTTTTTTTATCAATATTATTCCGTAGGACCTTGAAAATCCTCATTCAATCGCGAAAACATATTACGTAGTGTCGTTAGTCAAGATCATATAAAGTGGTTTCAACATTTACCGTATTTCTTGTAAGTACATACTTTTGGAGTGTCTTGTCAGTAACTGAGGTTTTTTTAGGGGCATCTGTAATAAAAACACCACGTTGAGATCAAACAGACAACAGGTCAATTTAAAAGAAAAACTTTCAAGTCGAAGGGTAAAGGATAAATCGGACTGCGAAAATGAAACTAAACAAAATTCAACCTCAGCCAATAATAGGCTAGCATGTAAACATTGTGGCACAATATACAAAACGCTAACGGATCTTAGGAAGCATGTTAAATTCGAAGAGAAAGTATACTACTGTCATCATTGCGAAAACTCGGGTAAAATAACCAAAGAAGAACTAATCAATCATTGCAAGACGGTAGGAATCAATTACAAAATTCCCAATTTCTTCCGAAAAGCAATGACAAAAAGGCCGCGAATGCTCAACCCAAGTGAACGAATGTGTTGCGAAATATGTTCGACTGAATTTGAGAACAAAACACAGTTGGAACAGCACTACGAAGAATCTCACAAAAACCATTACAAATGCGAAGTGTGTAGCGAGGGATTCAAAAAAATACTCGCGTATATTTTTCACATAAAGACTCACAGCGACGACGGCCTATACAGGTGCGCCCTGTGCAACTATACAACCCCTAATCGCTACATAGTAAATAAGCATTTAAAAGACAAACATGACCAGTTCAAAAAGCACATTTGCAAATTATGCGGCAAAAGTTTCTCCGTATTCACCTATTTTCTAGAACACAACAAGTATTTTCATAGCGGCGAACGTCCGTTCCAATGCGACCATTGCGGCAAAAGGTTCATGTATTCAAGGTACCTAAAAACCCACATGGCTCATTTACACAAAACTCGGACCGAAGAAGAACTTAAGTGCGTGTTTTGCGGCAACTCGTTCCAAACATCCCAAGCGCTCATGAATCATCGCATCAAACAACACCCGAAACATTTACATGTTTGCGAAATTTGCGGGAAGACATTCAACACAAAGTCGTTGTTGGTGTTGCATTCTAGCGTACATTCCAATCAGAAAGCATTCGGTTGTTCGTTTTGCGAGAAAAAATTCAAACGTAGATCATTCTTGGTACAACACGAGCGTATTCATACCGGTGAGAAGCCGCACGTGTGTCCGCATTGCGGTAAGGGTTTCTCGCAGCGCAGCAGTATGGTGAGACACACGAGACGACATACGGGAGAACGTCCTTATGCTTGTCATATTTGTAATAAGGCCTTCGCAAGCAGAAATTTACTTACAAATCATCGAAAAAATTGTAAAGGCGTTTCCTAATATACAGATAATTAATAAATCTATTATTTGTTTAAGTTTTGTTTTTATTTTTAAACAATAAGTAGATTTTAGTGTCTTTCAGTTAGAACAACTCGTAGGTAGCCAACGAATAAAGTTTTATTTTTACTTTTTGTAAAGCAGCAGTTTTTCTTGATGTATTTGGTACGTATCACGTTAAAACATATTAAAATGTTGTCGTCCCATAGAATTTCTTCATCATCATCATAAGGTCGTCAGTTCTAAGGGTGGCTGGACACGCGCCTCCACTCTTTTCTATCCTGAAGTAATCTTCGCATTTCCTTAAAATTAGAACATCCCACGTCCTTAACTATTCGCGAACAATAATCTAGTCTAGGTCTACTTCAACTCCTGTTTCTGCCTCTAATATGTCTCTGACTAGACTTTCATGTCTAAGAAGGTCTCCTACCAACCTATCTCGCCTATTTCTTATTGACTTCCGCAGAGTTCTCTGTTCTCCTATTCTTTCTAATACCTCTTCATTTCTAACCTTCTCTATCCTAGATATCCTCATCACTTGCTGGTAACACCACGAAAACAGTGTCGTGAAACATTTGAGCATAATGTTTTTCTTTTGATGTTCGTATTATGTGCATTCGTATGTACATGAATGTTGTGATTAACTGAATATTTTTCAACAGGAACGAGGGAATGAATCGTACAATAATCATGAAACCATTGGTGTGGTTGATATGCAATCCTAATATCAATTTAAGTTTAAGAGCAAACATAGCTCAAACTAGGCAAAAAGAAACTGCCCTTAATAAAACTGTTGACCCCACAAAATTAAACGATGTTGCTACGAATGGTCAAAGTCAAAACGTTTCTGAAATGTTCTACAAAAAGCGGACATGTAAATATTGTGGCAAAATCTACAATACCTTACGGGAACTCAGAGAACATGTAAAAAATGAAGAAAAAATATACTTTTGTCATCACTGTGAAAACCCGGAAAAAATTACTCAACAGGAACTTATAGAACATTGTAAATCGGTGGACATCGATTATAAAAGAAAGAACTTCTTCCGAAGCGCGATGAGTGAAAGAAAAGACGAAGAATATAAAGCTTCGATTGATAAAAAGCCGACATGTAAGCATTGTGGTACAATTTATAATAAGCTAGGAGATCTCAAGCATCACCTGATGTACGAAGAGAAAGTATTCGTTTGTCACCATTGTGAAAACCCGGCAAAAATGACTAAAGAAGAACTTATCGATCATTGTAAATCAGTGGGTATCAACTACAAGAAAAAGAAATTTTTTGCGAAAGCAGCCAGAGATAATGTAAGAGAGCTGACTGTCCCTGACGTGTTGTATTGCGAAATATGTTCTGCAGAATGTGAAAACAAAACGCAAATGGAACAGCACTACGAAGAATCTCACAAGAATCATTACAAATGCGAAGAGTGCAATGAAGGGTTTAAAAAAACGTTGGAATATATTATTCACATGAAGACTCATAGCGACGACAACCTTTACAAATGCGCCCTCTGCAACTACACAACACCAAGTCGAACAATGATTAATCAACACTTAAAGAGAAAACACGACCAGTTCATGAACTACAGGTGCAAAGTGTGTGGAAAAGGATTCTCGATAAGAAGTATTTTTAAAGAGCACACCAAGTATGTTCATAGCGGCGAACGTCCGTTTCAGTGCGATCATTGCGGCAAGAGGTTCGTGCACTCAGGATACCTAAAAAACCACATTTACCATGTTCACAAAACCCGAACAGCCGAGTATAAATGTCTCGTTTGTGGCGTCTCATTCCCGTCATATCTTGTTCTGAAGTATCATCGCATGAAAAAGCATCGAAAACAATTATACATATGCGAAGTTTGTGGGAAAACGTTCGACACACAACCACTTCTGAGTGTGCATTCTAAAATACATTCTGGCGAGAAAGCGTTCGCATGTTTATTTTGCAAGAAAAAGTTCAGACGCAGGTGTTTATTGGTGGAACACGAGCGTATTCATACCGGCGAGAAGCCCCACGTATGTTCGCATTGCGGCAAAGGGTTCTCGCAACGCAGCAGTATGGTCATACACACGAGAAGGCACACAGGGGAACGTCCCTATGCCTGTCAGCTATGTAATAAAGCGTACGCTTCTAGAAACTTACTGACAAATCATCAAAAACGCTGCAAGGGTAATCCACCATAATAAACAGTTGTTGTTATTTTTGTCGTTTAATCATTAATTAAATGTAAATTTTGGTAAATAAAATCTTTAGATTCGAATTATGTAGTAGCACTAACTTGACTAGACACTTAAAGTACTTCTTGTTTTTATCACACTGTATTATTAGCCTGTAGTTCCCACTATTTATTTATATAACCGATCAGGAACTCCTATTGTTAAGCAGGCAAACATTTGTCACTCAGAATATGATTTATTATCTTTCCCGTCTTTGGTAGAGATGTTGCCGACCATCGTCGGTCACTGACTACTCTTTAAAATACGTTCAAGTGTGAATGCGTATCTGTCTTCATTTTGCTATAAAAAATTCAAACGTAAGGGTTTATTGGTGTAACACGAACGTGTTCATACCGGTGAGAAGCCGTACCTGTGCTCCCATTGCGGTAAGGGATTCTCTCCGCGTACCCCTATGATTGTTATACATACACGAAAGGACACGGGAGAACGTCCTTATGCCTGTCAGCCATGTAACAAAGCTTATGTGTCTAGATCCTTACTGACAAACCATCAAAAACCCTGCAAGGACTATCCCTTACAATAAAGGTTTCATATTTATGTTACAACCAATAATGTTAAATTAGCATTTTATACCCAATGTGAAGTCGATGCAGCTAACAGTTACTAACCGTTACATTACTATTTAGTGACGTGCTTTCAGCATTCGGACACGATAAAAAGGCTCTTAATAATATTATATCATTTTTTATCATCAAACCGGATAAAAACAGTAAAAATAGGCGGAACAAACCATCACTATTGCATTTATTTACCTCCCTTAAAAGTGACAGCTACTTCTTGAAATAGTGGCGCTGTTATAATATTATTGTATATTGTATAAAATGCAAAATTTTATTAGCAACAAGATTACGTTTTGGTGTTTTTTTATATACAAATGTATCTTTTACATTAATCATAAACTCTATAATATAATTGTGTTTATGGAATTATTTTGTATAAGGAGGGAGTGATTTTTCCAATTCTACATAGAACTACTCAATAATACGTTCACTTTGAAAATTGTCCATGTACATGTAATAAAAAGTGCAGTAATTTCCTTTTTTGCAATTAACTTCTCCCTTGACCTTTGTATTCGTCAATTTATCCGTTGGGCGTTAAAATAATCGACTTAAATTAATAGTTTATTATATTTTTGTTTTGTAGGACGGTTGATACAGTTTATATTTTAATTATTCTGCAACATCCTTTGTGTTTTTTTTACATCGTTGTTCCGCGTTCCCAATTACTCCATGTTCCTTTAACGTCTTTAAAAATGACATGAAAAACATTTACGACGGTTATAGTTAACAGTTTTCGCTTTGTCCTGGAAATGTTGATTTAATTTATGGATTATTTACACTTTTTGATGACTGACAGTGTATAGGTAATAACAATTTCAACAGCGTACTTAATATACTCAAGAAAATATACCAATTAACTTAATTAACACTGAGCTGTTTTCAGGAAGTCGTCGTTAGTTACTAAGGTAGATCAACATAAGGCAAAGGTAGATCCTCAAAAGAATAAGACACTTAGTAAAAGGACTAACAAATATTCACCGGAGAACAGGGACGGAGTATGCCGGTATTGTAAAATCAGATTCGACGACGAAAAAGAACACGAAGCTTATGCCGCTGCCCGAGAAGAAAAAATTTTCTTTTGCCATTCTCACGGTAATTGCGAAGAGAAATTCACAAGACACGGCCTTCTGAAACACTGCAAAGAATTCGGCGTTCACATATCTAGCGTGCGACAGTTATTTTTAAAGGCCAGATCGAAAAATCCCAGGGCGAAACGTCAGGAACAAGAAACGTGTGAAATTTGTTCTCAAGTGTTCGAAACGAAGCAGAAACTCGAGCGTCACTACGACAGTCATGAAAACCAATACGGATGCGAGTACTGCAGGCTGGGTTTCAAGAGGATCATGGACTACGCCACCCATATGCAAACCCACAGCGAGGACAAATTATTCCGATGTCCTCTGTGTCCAATCGCCAAGGACAAGGGTTATTTGCTGCGATGGCACATTTTCAGTACTCACGAACAGTTCAAAAAGTACAAGTGCGACACGTGCGGGAAGCGTTTTCCCGCGTTCCCTTCGTACGACGAGCACGTCAAGTATTTTCATTCCGGCGAGAAGCGATTCGTGTGTGAGGAATGCGGTAAAAAATTCATGTACTCTTCGTATCTGGTGTCGCACAAACGTTTCGAACACGAGAGAAACCCGGAGACGGCTTTCAATTGTTTGTATTGTCAACTGAAGTTCCCTACGAAACGACATATGCAAAGACATCTCCGTTCTCAGCATCCCATAGCTCTTCTCGTCTGCGACATTTGCGGCAGACGATTTAAAACGAAAGAAAATCTCAAGATTCACTTGAACGTCCACAGAGGCGAAAAGAAATATCAGTGCTCGTTTTGCTCGAAGAAATTCGTTACTAACGGAGCTAAGAAGGAGCACGAAAGAGTTCATACTGGCGAAAAGCCGTTCAAATGTCCTTATTGTAAGAAAGGATTTACGCAAAGGAAGAGTATGGTGATACACTTGCGAGGTCATACTGGGGAACGACCATATGTGTGTCACATTTGTAATCGGGGGTTCACGTCAAGAAGTGCCCTCGTATTACATTTGAAAAAGTGTAAAGGAAGGGATGACTGAAATCATATACTCTAATTATTATTTTCTGATTGAGAAATTGTCTTTTTATTTAGTTTTATTATCGAATCGTGTATTAATTTATAATAAACATTACATCTTTTTACTTGTTAGATTCTTTTAACTACTTTGTTATTTATAACAATTACCTGTAGATAAATACTTCAGTGTGCGAAAAGTGGAATCAAGCGTTAAAAAGAAGGAGAAAGAGTCGAAATGTCTCTTTTTCTTTCTAAATGTTGTTATAGTATCGAGAAGGATAATATTCTCACTATAAAAGTTTTTGTTTTTTCGGGAAACAATTGAAATTGGTAAATATGCAATAAAAAAACCGTGGGACTCTGAAGATATAAACGTAAAAAGGGATT